AAAACCACAATGAGCCACCACTTCACACCCATCAGAATGGCCATCATGAACAAATCAACAAACAAGTGTTAAAGAGGATGTGGAGAAAAAGGAACCCTACTGCACTGTTGGTGGGATTAGGGTGGTACAACCACTGTGGGAAACAGTATGGAATTTCCTCAGAAAACTAAAAATGGGACTTCCTTTTGACCCAGCAATTCCACTGCTGGGATTATATCCTAAGAACTCTGAAACACCAATCCAAAAGAACCTATGCACCCCAATGTTCATAGCAGCACAATTTACAATAGCCAAGTGCTGGAAGCAACCTAAGTACCCATCAGTAAATGAGTGGATCAAAAGACTATCATACATTTACACAATGGAATACTATACAGCAGATAGATAGGAGACCCTACCCTTTGTGACAGCATGGATGGAAGTAGAGAGTGTTATGGTAAGTGAAATAAGCCAGGAGGTGAGGTACAAATGCCATATGATCTCACCTTTAACTGGAATATAATCAACAAAAGAAAAAAAGCAAGCAAAATGTACCAAAGATATAGAAATTAAGAAAATTTAACAGTAACCAGAGGGGAGGTGGGAGGGGATAATGAGGGGAAGGGTTTTCAGAAACTAATATAAAGGACACATAGACAAAACCAAGGGGAAGGATGGAAGCAAGGGAGGAAAGCAGGTTTGGCTGGTGTGGGTGGGGAGTAGTTGGGGGAAAATGCAGACAACTGTAATTGAACAACAATAAAATAATTATTTTTTAAAATGAAAATGGAGTAGCCAAAGAACTTATACACATGACTCATGGACATGAACAATGGCAGGGGGTTGCCTGAGGGAGCAGAGGGTGCTGGATGGAACGGGGAGAGGGGGAAAAATCAGGACAAGTGTAACAACATAATCAATACAATATAATTTTTTAAAAAAGGAAATGTATTTTTCCCTGGAGCCTCCAGAAGGACTCCAGTCTTGCAGACATCTGAATTATAGCCCAAAGAGAACAATTTTAGACCTCTTACCTTCTAGAATTTTAAGATAGATATTTGTTTGTTTTATGCCAGCAGTGTAGCAATTTTTGTTAGAGCAAGAATAAAATTTCAATATAGGCATTTATCCAATAAATTATTGTTTGCAGGAACTTATGGTTGTCAAGTGGGAGGGTGCTGGGGGCTGGGTGAAAAAGGTGAAGGGATTAAGAAGTAAGTACACACTGGCATTTACAAAATAGTCATGGGGATGTAAAGTATGGCATAGGCCATATAGTCAATAATATGTATGGTGTCAAGTGGGCATGAGACTTACTGGGGGATCTCTCTGTAAGTTACATAAATGTCTAACCCCTATAATGATAAGTGTCAACTGTAACTCAAAAAAAATTTAAGGTACTTTTAAAAATGAAAAAATTGTTGGCAGAATTGCTTCAATATGGTATAGTGCCTGGTGGGTACTGGAAATACCAGGTGGATCACTTTGTGAAGTATATGATTGCCTAACCGATATGCTGTATGGTTGAAACTAATTTGATTTAGGTGGTGGTCATGCCATGCGATATACAGATGATGAGCTATAGAATTGTACACCTGAAACCCATATAATTTTACTAACCAATAACCTAATAAAAATTTTTAAATATTGAATGTCGGTTGTAATTAAAAAATAAAATAAAAAAGAACAAATTATTTGCAAGAACTAATTTTAAGCTGCTCTTTTTTAAAATCTTATTTTATTTTCATTGTTGTTCAAGTACAGTTTTCTTCCTTTTACCCCCATCCCAGCCCACTGCCCCAGCCCTACCCACTTCCCATTTCCACCCCCTCTTGTTTTTGTCCATGTGTTCTTTATACGTGTTCCTGCAAACCCTTCCCCTTTTCCCATGAAATTCTTTCCACTCTCCCCTCTGGTCACTGTCAGCCTGTTCTCAATTTCAATGTTTTTGGTTATATTTTGCTTGTTTGTTTGGTTGGTTGATTAGGTTCCTGCTAAAGGTAAGATCATATGGTATTTGTCTTTCACCACCTCGCTTATTTTGCTAAGCTGCTCATTTTTTTTATTTATTTTTCAGTTACACTTGATATACAGTATTATATTAGTTTCAGGTGTACAACACAGTGATTAGACATTTATTTTTAATATATAATCTTTATTTTTTCATTACCACTTAGCCCCCTTGTGCCCCCTCACCCCCAAAATAACCACCCCGTTGTTCATGTCCATGAGTGTTATTTCTTTATTCCTCAATCTCTCCACCACCTAACCTCCCCCCAGTAGCTGTCCTTTTTGTTCCATCTATGAGTCTGTGTCAGTTTTGCTTGTTAGTTCAGTTTGTTTGTTAGGTTCCACACATGAGTGAAATTATATGGTATTTATATTTATCTGACTGGCCTACTTCACTTAGCATAATAGACCTCTATATAACATAAAAAGTGATCATTCTGATAAATCTAGTACCATCTGACATTATATATAGTTGTTAAAATGTTATTGGCTGTATTTCTTATGCTGTACTTTGCATTCCCATGACTATTAAGCCTCTCAATCCATTCACTGAGCACTGCTTAGGTACAGCCATTTCATGGTAAATCCCACCTTCAAATAGAAGGTGAAAATTAGAGTCCATGTGGAGATATTCTGCCCCACTAGGTGGTACAGAGAATTCTCCATTGCATAAGTGTAAATGTTCTGACCTTGAAGCCTTTGAGAATCTAAGATAGGAAAAATAATTTCTTATTAAAATTATAGTCCTCCTTTAAATCTTCGTGTCAGAATTTCTACATTCTCTCCATTTTGTGTTCGCTCAAACATTCATTCTTTTTATTTTTATTCCCTCCAACTTTCTCTCAAGATTTCTTTAGCATAATAAATGGGAATATATGTGATGCTGTGTGCATGTACATGTATGTGTGTGAAGGTGCTTATTTGAGAGAAAAGTGTACACAATTGTACACACACACAGTCCTAAACTTGAAGATTGTCTTTGAACTCAACAGAGTATTTCAATACATTTAATTTATTCTGCACAATATTTATCTGTAATTAGAATTTATTATCTCATATTACTGTCAGAAATGAAGAAACCAGTTCAGGGTGATTACATTTTTAACAATAACATAACAAAGGAGTTAACCCTTGTACATCTTTGCAAAGTATACACAAATGGAGTCATGTAGTATAAATTCTTAATTTCTGTATGTCTCACTTAATTCAGCATGGTGTATGTGCTGTGTATTATATGTAATTATGCTCCATGAATTAGTTAGGAATTAAATTTTCTAGTAGAGCGTGGCTCAGGGTCACATCAAGAGCACAGGTAGCCAAGTCACCCCCAGAAGCGCTAGGAGAATCTCTTCTAAGCAAGAAGAAAGCAAATGTTATATATCAATATAGGAATTAAAATAAAGCAATTGTCATTTAATAAATTCATTTTCTCCATAAATTAATGACTCACTTGCATGTATAAAGAGAATAAACTGACACGAATTGGTTGAGCAGAGAAGAGCACTACAGCCACATTCAGCATCATGGATGAGCCTTAGAGACACAATAGACAGACTGACAGCTGACACAGACCCGTGAGGAAACAATCAGAACTCAGAACAACTTCCCACCATGTAATCTCATTGGTAATAAATGCATCATATTAAACCATTTGTTTCTAGGATGACATATGCAATGACAGCTATTTGGTAACAATAATCATGGTGAACAGAACTGAAGAAAAATATCATAATCTACCACTAGTCATTACAGGTCTTTGTTCTGAATTTGAAGATGGCATCATGATTGCTCCTACTGAAGTTTATTCCAAGTGACTGTATTAAAAAGTGATTTCATTTTGATTCCCTTGTAGGTAAGCAAGGGGATTGAAAGAACATGTATGTTTGTGCAACACTTATGACTCTGAGTCACAGAACTGGACAAGAATTCAAGCTCTCTACTTACTCATCATTTGGTCATTGCTATATATATGTGACATACCTATAGATCACATATATAATATATAATGGATGATATTGATATAGTTTTTTCCATACCACTCAGTGGTTACACAATATTTACAGTAGGGGTAAATGCTTCCTTTAGAACAATAGAGGGAATCATATCTTTAGGCAGCAATGAAAGTTTTCAAGTGGAGGCAGGAAGACAATTTGGTAGGAAACATAATTACACTAAGCAATAATTCACCCCAAGCATAAATTCCTTTACACACAGACACAGATCTTATATACATCAATAAGTGAACATACACCATAAAAATAGTTTACATAGTAATAAATGTATGACTCAAAATTTTGCTTCTTCACACTTAAGGTCGTCTTTGACTCTAAGCACATATTATGTCAAACTATGTTATGAAATTTGTGTTTCCACATCAATTAGAATTGGAGACATGATTTGATGGTCAGTTTTGCCTGTGACTATGGTAAGAATGTGCACGCCAAGCTCAATAAGAATCAGGATCCTAATGAGGGAAGACAACCCAATGGCCTGTTACTAACCACACTATATGTTGAAGTCTACATTTTCAATAAGAGAAGTTATGGTAGTGAGATATGAAGAAATGATATACAAGAGATGTTAAACTGTGCTCTTCTAGTTTCCTCTCCTATGAAATGATATAAATGGCTTTGGTTACCAAGTGTAGTGTAATTCCATAAGAGAAGTACAACTCAAGATGTTTCTTTTAGTGAAACAAAAGAAAAAGTACTCAGTATGCTATATTTCATTTCAAAGGAAATTGTTCCTAAGAAATCCATGTAGTCTCCATAAGATACATGGGAGCATCCAAATATTTCATCCAAGGCTGGGAATCAACTCAGGAGGGAGAAAATGGATTGAGAAAAAGCTGCTATATATCATAAAGTTGAAAAGTTAACAGTGAGTCGCTTAAATATTATAGAGAAGTTGAAATCACAGAAACACAAACTTGAGGAAATAAACAGAGATAGTAATTTCTACTTTCACAGCCTGATCAAAGAGTCACAATATCTGGCTCCAGGCTTTGAGCTCTATAAACATGGGCATTTCTTCAGCCCTAGGACAAATGGTCCTTTTATAGCTGCCACCCCAAATAATCTTCTCAGAGCCCCCTTTATATCTCTGTTCCTGAGACTGTAGATGGAAGGGTTCAACATGGGTGTGACCACAGTGTACATCACTGAGGCAACTCCCCTTGAATGTGAGCTGTGAGTACCAGCAGAGCTGAGATACACTCCTAGGCCAGTACCATAAAATAAGGAGACGACCAAGAGGTGAGACACACAGGTGGAAAATGCTTTATACTTCCCCTGAGCTGATGGGGTTGTTTGTATGGAGGACACTATCTTAGAGTAAGAGTAAAGGATCCCAGCCAGGGAACCACCACCTAGCAGCCCAGCTGAAATATATATTACCACATCACTAAGAAAGGTATCAGTACAGGCAAGTTGCACCATATGTTTGATATCACAAAAAAAAGTGGGGGATTTCCAAGTCTATGCAGAAGGACAGCCTCAATACCATCAAGCACTGTAGCAAGGAATTCAGGGCACTCATGACCCAGGACACCAGAACCAGGAGATTACAGAGCTGGGGGGTCATGATGACCATGTAGTGCAGGGGGTCACATATGGCCACAAAGCAGTCATAGGCCATTACAGTCAGGAGAAAGTTGTCCAATCCTGCAAAGCATAAGAAGAAATACATCTGGCTGATACAGCCTGCATAGGTGATGGCTTTGTTCTCTGTCTGGATGTTCACCAGCATCTTTGGGATGGTGGTGGAGGTGAAACAGATGTCTACCAAGGACAGGTTGGAGAGGAAGAAGTACATAAGCGTGTGCAGGTGGGAGTCTGAGCTGACGGCCAGGATGATGAGCAGGTTTCCCAACACAGTGATCAGGTACATGCAGAGGAACAGCTCAAAAAAGGAGGGGCTGCAGTTCTGGTTCCTCTGATAATCCCAAGAAATTCCAGATTTTGTGTAAGATTCTCTGTTTCCATGTGGTGCAGTTGACTTCCAAAATATAGCAAAAGTACATGACTAATTTTCACACATGCAAACATTACTAACCTAGCATAAGTGCTACTACTTAAATTTTAGAACCAAGAAATTAATTCCATATTTGGTGTATGGTCTAGCATCCTTTTTAGGATGTGCCTAGTGCCATTACTCATTAGGACTTTTCTTCTGCTAAAAGCACATGAAGAATTCTTCTGTCTTACTCAATTTTTCCAGTAAGAAAAATAAAAGCAAAAAGGCAATGGATGTGATGTAAGGCACAGCATGGTGACTCAAGCTAATATACTGAATCATGTATTTGAAAGTTGCTAGAGAGGAGAGTTTTAAAGTCCTTATCAAAGAGAAAATTTGTGACAGTGACGAGAGGGGAGAGAAGAGGGAATTTCAGGGGAGAATGGGAAGGGTTTACAGGAACAAATTTAAAGGACACATGGACAAAAACTAGGGGGAGGGTGGTAATGGGAGGGAAGTGGGGAGGGTCGAGGGGGTGGTCTGGATTGGGATTAAAAGGGAGAAAACTGTACTTGAACAATGATTAAAATAAAATTTAAAAAAAAAGATTCTAAAAACCAAAAAAAAAAAAACAAAGAGAAAATTTGTAACTGTGTGTGGTGACAGAGGTTAACTACACTTAGTGTGGAAGTCATTTTGCATTATATACAAATATGATATTATGTTGTACACCTGAAATTAATATAATGTTTTATGTCTATTCTAATTCCAAAACATTCCATGCCAATTGGTTGCTATGGGTAAGAGTATTCAAATTGGTGTTTATAATTTTCAAAGTTATATGAAGTTTTCACTTCCTTCGTTTTTTCCTTTGCACAAGAACTACAAAAACTTTATTCCCGGCTTTTTTCCATGTGGCCAAAAGAACATTTAATAAATCAATTACTTAAACTAAAAAATTATACTTCAATTTAAAAACATTTTTTGAAAAAGCCCCAGAGACAACACAGCATCACTGGCTGATAGATTGGAAGACACAAAATTTATCAACTATGTACATTCCCCAAAAGTGCATGTACACATACCTAAAATAACTAAATGGAAAACAGACAGTTTATATAAAAAACTCCAATTCTTGGTTAGAAGGAATCCAATAAAAATAACAAAAGGGAATGTAGCCAAAATATTGTGATAAGCTTGCATAGTAACAGGTAATTACTAAACTTAGTGTGGCAATTGCATTGCAATGGATATAGATGTGAGTCACTCTATTGTACACCTGAAACTGATGTGATATTGTCTATGAACTATACTTAAACAAACAAAAAAGGAATAAAAATACTCTGATAACACTATCCAAGAGCAAGGAACTTTCTGGTGTATGACATAGTGAAAGTTATAATATTGTAGTCCAACTATAATTTAAAATAAATTAATACACATGTAAAGCAAAATCTTGGAGTGAGAAATTTTAACAGAGACACTAAATGCCTAACAAACTCACACATTTCCTTACTCAGCCTCACAGGCAATGAAATAATTACAAAGTGAACCTCATCAGCACACTTGTTTTCACCTACCAAATAAATGCTTTTTCATGTGAATAGCCAGGGTGAGAGAAGATGCTGTGAAATGCATGTCTCATGCACTGCTACGGCAAGGATGTATTTGTGAGCCTTCCCTGATCCAGATCTTTCTCATCATAGGGAGACATAGTCTAATAGGCCCCATCATAACATTTGTAAATGCCCTCACATCACTGTCTGTTCCTCCACAGCTAATAACCTATCTGTCTATTCCTGTTCATTGAACTTATGTTCTACTTCTACTAGAAGGACCACACCTCCAATTCCCTCTCTTAATATTTCTTCAGTTAAAACCACTTAGTTGTCAACAGTGACACCTGTGTTTCTGAGTACAATGTTCACTTTCCTTTCCACATCATGAATAAACACTCATTTATTTGTAAAGTCAGCCAGCAACCACAGTGATCACTGGTGTCTATCTGGGCTGTGTTGGAATGGTTCCCAGGTGATTTCAGGTACAAATTCTTGGTTTCCAGTCTCTCTGATCCTCTCCTGCCATGTCTGTTGGGCTCTCAGACTCACCTGCATGGGAACTCTGACAAGAAGATTTCCCTGTGGGAGTCCAAAATCTTCCCTGGGTGATTGATGATGGAGACAAACTCTATCCCAGACAAGACATCAAGGAATGGTCAAGCATTGCGGTCCCTGCCAGATTCAGGACTCCAAGGGCAACAGCCACGTTTCTCCATCCAAAGGTTGCACATGCTGAGAAGCTGCAGTACAGAAGCGACTTACAGCTCTCCAGGTCTGCTCATTAGGCACATTTACTTCTCAGCACTCTAACCTCTAAGTGCATAGTTCCCATTGGAGATGCAGGTGTAGACAGAATGGAGAGTTTTCCTGCTGATCCTCTGTTCCTAGGAGACTATGTAATAAGCCATCTGAGTACAGTTTTGATTAGTCCTTCTCCATTAACTGCCCTGCTTCCTGATGTCTACACCTCCCAGCACCTCATCCCATCTCTGTGTTAAAGTTTTTGAATGGGTGGACCTAGAGGGTATTGTGCTCAGTGAAATAAGCCAGTCAGAAAAAGACAAATACCATGTGATTTTACTTGTATGTGGAATCTACAGAACAAAATAAATGAACAAACAAAATTGGCACAATTTCATAGGCACAGAGAGCAGACTTGTGCTTGCCAGAGGGGAAGTAGTTTGAGGGACTGGGAGGAAAAGTTAAAGAGAGTTAGAAGTACAAATTAGCAGTTAAAGAATAGTCTCATGGATATGAAGGAGAGCAAAGGGAACATAGTCCATAATATTGTTATAACTATGTGTGAGACCAGTTGCATACTGGAAGTACCAGAGGGGGAAGGGGGGACCACTATGTAAAGTTTATGATTGTCTGACCACTGTGCTGTACACCTGAAACCAATACAAAAAATATTAACAGTAAACTGTAATTGAAAAACAAAGTCTTATACTGAGAAATTTGTCTGACTGGTCTTTGGGTCTTCAAAGCATTGATTTGTGGTGGGACACACCACTGACACCCCTCTTTCCCCTCTAAGAAAGGGGAGATATTTGTTCCCTTAGTATAAAACCTTGGGCACTATACCCCTAGGCTTCATGATTGTTCAGCCAGAACAGTTAGGGATTTCATAGTGATATTGCATGTTAACAGTTGGCATCTGGTGCCCCATCATCAAATGTTTATTAAATATAAAAAGGACATTTAAATTTTAGGCACCATAGCTCAGCCTTCCACTTTGTAACCACTGTCAAATTTATGTTTCACAGAAATGCCTTTTATCGGAAAGTGCATTGAGAAACTACCTTCTCCAACACAGAAAAGGGGCACAGAGGGACCAATTGTTGTGCTCAAAGGTACAAACCAAGGAAGGGAGAGTTTTGATTGCAATCAGTCAGGATGCTTCCAGTTTGGAGATGCTGGGCCAATGATTCTCAAACAGAGATGACTTTGCCTCTGGGGATGTTTGTAATTTCTGAAGGTTGGCTGCTAAACACCTGCAATGCACAGGACACCACCCAACACATAGAATTACCCAGCCCCAAGTGTCAACTGTGACAAAGTGAAAACATCTATTGTAGATCAGTACTTGTCCACTTCATTGTGCATATAAGTCACCAAAGTTTGAAGTTCAAGTGCAAATTCTGGTTTCCAGTGGGCCCAGAGACTGCATTTCTGACAAACTCCCAGGTGATGTTGAAGCTGCAGGTCTTCTTGTTCTGAGGACCACAGTTTGAGTAGCTGGCTATGGCTCTGTGTTAGAGTTGCGGGGGGAGGTAATTTTAGGTCTTCTCCACCAGGAATCTTCTGTGTATGTAATTTTGAAAGACAAATTTTCCACTCATTCCATAGAGGAGGATCATTCCATTCTGTGTTTGATTCTTTTAAATTAGAGTTCCAGAGAGACATGGAATAATTTGTATCTGGGAAAAGCATTGTAGTAGGCAGAATAAGAGCCTCAAAAGATGTCAACATCCTAATTCAGATAACTTTGGAATATGTTAGTTCACCCAGCAGCGTAGCTATGATAAGAGATGAAATAAAGTTATTGGTCATTTGTCATACAATAAGGAGACTGGCTCAGATTGTCCAGGTTGGTGAAATGTCATCACAATTGTCCTCTAAATATGGAAGAGAGCAGAAGAATTGGTGTCAGAGAGCCAACTGAAGATGCTCTGTTGCTGGCATTGAAGATGGATAAATGTAATAAAAATATAATTTTTGGTCAGTTTTTCTGTTATCTTTATCAAACTGCCGATTATATTCATCTTGTCCTCAAAACAGTCCTTCCAGATCCTATTTTTGTCCCTTTTATACGTGAACACATTCCAAGTTGGTTCTTTTCATCAGATGAAAATGCAATTCATATTTTAGACCTAAACAAAAGACTCTGCCTTAGTCCCTAGTGATCTTCAACTTGAGTCTCTACAGTTCTCTAGCATGGCCAGGTAGTTTTGAGTCCTGATGTGCTTGTGACTCTTAATAACTATGATACTCAGCTTTGTTTTTCTCTTCGTTTTTTTATAAAATTTTGATTTTCACATATATATCATTAATTCATCTGGAATTTATTTTCTATATTTTTATTGTTGTTCCAGTACACTTGTCTGTATTTTCCCCCTTTTCTCCCTCAACTCCAGCCATCCCCACCTCCCTCCTCTGATCCACCCCCCTTGATTTTGTCCATGTGTCTTCTATAGTTGTTCCTGAAAACCCTCCCACCTTTCCCCCATTAAATAAATTTTTAAAATATGTTCAACTGTAATTGAAAAATAAAATAGAAAAAGAAAAAATTTTTTCCAGCAACTAATTTTAAGATTCTCATTTTAAACCTTTTATATTTCATTTTGAGTTGACACACAATATCATATTAGTTTC